ATATTTTATAAAGTTTAGATCAAATTATTTGGGGGCGAAAAACACCATAAGCTTATCAAAAGCACAATAAATTTTATAATTCATGGCTGATAATTTCCTTAATTCAGCTGATGATAAACAATTAATTACGTAACAACAGAAAGAACGTACCAACACCGTTGTGAAAAATACACAATAAGTTGTATTATTTATTACCACTATTTGTGAACATGACTCAAATAAAAATATATATATTTGTCTTTCTTCTTGATTATTATAGTTAGGCCTAAGTCTAATCATAATGTTTTTATGCTTGTTAAACAGAGATCGAAGGGAAACAGCCGGGCAAGTCGAGAAGTTCCCTTTCAATAGTTATGAAAAAAACTGGGAGCGACGTTCCGGAACCCATTAATTCAGTTAGAGTAAATTCTACATTTTACGACCAGATCGACAGCGTAGTGGTAGGAAGTAAATATAGCAATCAGAGCTTTGAAAATAGGTCTACCAAATCCAGAGAATCGAGTGATGGTCTTTCTTTTAAAACAAACAGACTTACAGTAGGCACTTTGGAAGGTTTTTCAACTTCAGAAGAACTTTCAAGTAACGATGTCGCTGGCACACACCGGTCAAGTGTTCTAACTAATGACTCTTCAACAGCTCAGCCAAGCAAAAGACTAAAGTCGAGTCTCAAGAACCCTTCGAAAGTACATTTCCTGAGGAATAGAAGAATAGCTGCTCTACAAATTTCGCCACAGACTGAGAAACAGACAAATAATGAAAACGTAAAAGGTGGAATTGGCACTGACGTCATCACATCCGAGGTTAACATGAGTCGTTCTTCTATAAACCTACCATACATAGCTGTCATCAACAAAAGCAAGAGCGACTTTTCTAACACTACGTCACCTTCTATTCTCATCTCTGGAGAAGCGCGTGAAGACCCGATTAATGACACATACGCAGGAGTAAACATATTGGTAACTGATGGTAACAAATCAACGCAGTTTACAGAAAAAATTAAAACGGCGAAAATATTATTTCAGGATGATGACGATACTCAAACTGGAGAAGAGAATACAACAAAATATTATGTTTTGGGAGAAGACGGGGATGGATTGGATGTAAACTACTCTACGTATGAGGATCAGTCTAGGGTATCAGGTGGCGACGTAAAGTCAGGTCAGAATCAGGTTTGGCTGATCTCTGGTCACGTGCAAGCCAGCTCGCTCGCAACTGAAGAAAATAATACCGACCAAAATGTCGATTCAAGTGAAAAATTTGACGATTTTGGATCTGTTGCTCTCTCAGAGCTCGTCAATCCTACATCAATAGTGGACCTTTCACATAAAAGTCATAACGACCCTTTAAAGAAGAATTCGAATGAAAATGAGCTAATTCAAGTAAATAACTGGACACAAAACTTCAGTTTTCTTAACGATACTATAACTTCAACGACAAGACAGAGGAATGTAGTGAATATCGAAACCAGAACTAATGTTTCTATGGATACCTCTCGGCCATTGTATCTTAACGAAACTACCAGAGTAGTTGAACATTTCTTCACCAGCAACCACAGTGGAGTTGTTGATGAAAGCACAAACATTAGAGAAGCTGAAGAACCAATCGCTACTCCTGTCCGTGGCTCAAAGTACTTAGATAGTGAAAATTCGAGAACGACAACGAAGCTAGCTAGTGATGAGTCCAATAATACCACAGATTCTTATGATATACGTCATCAGGAAAATGCGGAAAATCCTCCGCCAGGAGAAGAATATCAATTGAGTAGTGGTTTCTTACAAGAAACAAGAAATGTAATGGGAGTTCAAAACCGTAATACAACACCTTGTTTAGCAACAGACCCTCTGAGAACCTTAGAAACCGGGTCTTCAAAATCCGGAGCATACACATCTTCATCCCGACAAACGAACTTTCCAAATACTCATAATTTATTTATAGATGGCGCCACCATCTCATCCATTGCTGGTACAACGATTACCAAATTAGCTATAAATGGGATTAGTTCCCTTCAGGAAGGTAAATCATCGGCTACGACACCTAATCCAACAATACCGACATCAACAATCACAACAATGACTAACAATAACAATACTCAGTCGAGCGCTACGCAACAGAGTTTGATAGATGTGGTCAGAATAGCTGGTGTAATGAGACTTACCAAGGGTATCCAGTGGTCACCTAAACTTGGAAGAAAGTACACAAAAGATTACATTCGTTTATCACAGACACTGAAAGAATTGGTAAGTAATTATTCAGTTATTGTTTTCTTTCGAAATTAAGTGTCCTTATTTTTGTAAATCTTTCATAAATAAACTAAGGATTGTATCCAAGGGTTCAAATATTCGCAGGGACAGCACCGTGTACAATATTCAATTAGAGACATTAAACAATTAATAACCCAACTGTAAGAGAAATTAAATTATTCTAAACGAAGAAACTTCATTATGATTTAAAGGTCAAAAAGCGAAAACTCCTTTTTTTATTCCAGTATTAGTTAGCGTTATATATGTTTGTCGTTTATGTCTGCGGACTTACAACGCTAGAATCCGGGTTTCTATACTCGTGGTGGGCAGAGCACAGATAGCCCATTGTGTAGCTTTGTGCTTAATTACAAACAATCAAACAATGTTTGTTGTTAAGCGCAAAGCCACACAATGGACTATCTAACTTGAGTATCCGATTAAAGAAAAACAGTGTTATAAGATCGTTTATTAAAAACCAACAAACAAGTTTAATATGTCCTTATTGAGGTCTTTGCTTAAATCAAATTATAATTGTTGTCCACGATGTGGAAGTGTTCTGTTCACAACATCTACTAATATCTTCTTTCCCCACCCCTAAGCAGGGATTGTAACGGACTATGTTGTGTTAGTACTAACAGTTTCTTTGTTAGGGATTGTAACGGACTATGTTGTGTTAGTACTAACAGTTTCTTTGTTAGGGATTGTAACGGACTATGTTGTGTTAGTACTAACAGTTTCTTTGTTAGGGATTGTAACGGACTATGTTGTGTTAGTACTAACAGTTTCTTTGTTAGGGATTGTAACGGACTATGTTGTGTTAGTACTAACAGTTTCTTTGTTAGGGATTGTAACGGACTATGTTGTGTTAGTAGTAACAGTTTCTTGTTAGGGATTGTAACGGACTATGTTGTGTTAGGACTAACAGTTTCCTTGTTAGGGATTGTAACGGACTATGTTGTGTTAGTACTAACAGTTTCCTTGTTAGGGATTGTAACGGACTATGTTGTGTTAGTACTAACAGTTTCCTTGTTAGGGATTGTAACGGACTATGTTGTGTTAGTACTAACAGTTTCCTTGTTAGGGATTGTAACGGACTATGTTGTGTTAGCACTAACAGTTTCTTTGTGTTCTTTTCTTTTCAGATACAAGATACTCTTCTCCAAACTTCATTCGGAAATCGTTTGATTGATGTTATAATCAACAGATTCAGGTAACTATCGCAAGGGACGATGTTAATCTTCCATGATGACAAAATCTTCAGATGTCCATCTTATTTCTCTCAGCCATCATCATAATCTTAGGGGGTGATGATGAAAGTTCATTTAAACGTTCGTAATATCTTTATGAAGATGGAAGAGATGGTGAAATTTAAGATGTTATATGAGGCATTTCTCAGGATGGCCCCCTAGTGGCACAGCGGGATGTCTGCGGACTTACAACGCTAGAAACCGGGTTTCGATACACGTGGTGGGCAGGGCACATATAATGCTCATTGTGTAGCTTTGTGCTTAATTCCAAACAACTTCTCAGAATGTTAAGCCTTACTGACCTGTACTTTTTTTTCTCACGTTTATGTATTTATTTTTTAATTGGGAAGTTTATTTAAAGATTTGGAACTTTAATTGTTGTGATGAGTGAGTTGAAGACTCACGTTAAAACACGCTCACTCATTTTCTGTTCTATCAATATTATATATATTTTACAAAGCAAGTGATACTACCGTTTCAGTTCTGGCACGCAACAAAGTATCCAAACGTGCATCGCTTCGATATTAAATTCCTTTTGTTCCCCTATTAGTCAACGGTAATTTTACGCACTTAAATATGCGGTTCGATTCCCCGAGTTGGACACGGCGCAGATAACCCAATGCATTGCGCTAAAAAATAGCCCCCCAGTAGCACAGTGGTTTGTCTTCGGACTTACAACACTAGAAACCTGGCTTCGATACCCGTGGTGGGCAGAGTACAGATAGCCCATTGTGTAGCTTTGTGCTTAATTACAAACAAACAAACAGAAATAATATTAATGTATAAAAGGTGTAAAACACAATAAGAACAAAGCTACACAATGGGCTATCTGTGCTCTGCCTACCAAGGATATCGAAACCCGGATTCTAGCGTTGTAAGTCCGCAGACATACCGCTGAGCAACTGGGGAGCAATATATTATTTCTATGATATTATCTACTAATGTTTTGTGATGAATTATATAATTTCTGAATTTTAATTTGTTGCGTTTATCGAACAGTTAATCCAAGTTGCTAAAATCAGTTTAAGGTGAATAATTAAAAAACTCTCTCTTGTGTGGAGTTTGGTGAACAATATTTTATTGATCAACTAACGTATGGCTTCGCTGCCTCCTGGTGGTAGCTAGCGTCCATCTGAAGAGCTAGTATGTAATATTTCATATATAAATTCCTTTTTGTAGATTAAATTAACTGTTACGTCCATTAACGTCATAGCAGTCTTGTCAAACATTGTGACAAAGACAAAAATCTGGCAAGTTAGCAATAAGAACTTGTATGGAAAAAAATGAGCTTTTATTATATTTGATTTAATTAAACGTAGTGATTAAAAATCAACTACTTATAAATTAAAGAAACTTATTAGATCCGACTCTTTAACTTCGACACTAAAATTGTTGATATGCTTTTTTATGAAACTTGAATTCCAACATCGAACTTTAAATAAAGATCTTGGAAATGAAATGGATACTACGTTTGTTCCAGAAGTTCTAATCTCGGTAGAAAATTCGTTTCACAGATGATGTGAAACAGATTTGATTCACAGATTTTAAACATCTCTACGAGAAGTGAAGTGGGCGTAACAATAGATAACCATTACTTCTTGTCATTTATAGAGTTCTTTAAATAAGGAGGAACGATGACCATTCCTTCTTGTCATTTATAGAGTTATTTAATTAAGGAGGAAAGATGACCATTCCTTCTTGTCATTTATAGAGTTCTTTAAATAAGGAGGAACGATGACCATTCCTTCTTGTCATTTATAGAGTTCTTTAACTAAGGAAGAAAGATTACCATTCCTTCTTGTCATTTATAGAGTTATTTAATTAAGGAGGAACGATGAACCATTCCTTCTTGTCATTTATAGAGTTATTTAATTAAGGAAGAAAGATTACCATTCCTTCTTGTCATTTATAGAGTTATTTAATTAAGGAGGAAAGATTACCATTCATTCTTGTCCTTTATTGAGTTATTTAATTAAGGAGGAAATATTACCATTCCTGCTTGTCATTTATAGAGTTATTTAATTAAGGAGGAAATATTACCATTCCTGCTTGTCATTTATAGAGTTATTTAATTAAGGAGGAAATATTACCATTCCTTCATGTCATTTATAGAGTTATTTAATTAAGGAGGAAAGATTACCATTCCTTCTTGTCATTTATAGAGTTATTTAATTAAGGAAGAAATATTACCATTCCTTCTTGTCATTTATTGAGTTATTTAATTAAGGAAGAAATATTACCATTCCTTCTTGTCATTTATAGAGTTATTTAATTAAGGAAGAAATATTACCATTCCTTCATGTCATTTATAGAGTT